GCTAGGAGAAAACGATCATTGGAAATTGGAAATTGGAAGGATAATGAATGGCCACCTGAACGTATAATACAGGTGTATGGACCTGCCACTTGGGCTGAGGATGGATCATGGGGATATAGGACTCCAATTTATATGCTGAATCGCATTATTAGGTTTTTTAGTGGTTCTGGAGATTATGACTAACGAGACAGCGCTAGCATTAAATAAGTTGGCTAAACAGAATACCCAAATGAGGACTGCAATTTATCAAAATAGGTTAGCATTGGATTATTTATTGGCAGAAGAAGGAGGGGTCTGTGGAAAATTTAACTTAACCAACTGTTGTCTGCAAATAGATGATGAAGGGAAGGCCATTGAGGAGATAACAAACAGGATGAGGAAAATAGCCCATGTACCAGTCCAAACCTGGACTGGAATACTTGATGATGGGGGATTCCTGGGAGAAATTTTTAGAAATTGGAAACAAGCTTTATTCACGTTAGCAGTAGTATTTTTCAGGTTAATGTGCTTACCCTGCTTGATCCCTGTAATAAGAAGTATTGTACAAAATACAGTGGAGGGAATGCTAAATGCAACCAATAAGAATGACAAGCAAATGCTGATGTTAAACAAGGTAACTGAACATACTACAATACTTGACTTCAAGAATGCCGAGGAGATCTGGGAAAGTTTAAAACCATTTGAGAAAAAGTTTTATTTTTAAGTTAGTATAAAAATAATAGAAAGGGTGGATTTGTGAGAAACAAAGAAATTTAAAAATAAAAGGGTTACAATTGATTAATAATAAAAGGATTAGCCAAGCCCTGCACGTAGGCACTAGATTCCAGGAGGCTTGGCTATAAAGATACACTTAACAAGACAAAAGAGTGGCAGGGGGAAGTTCGAAACAATGTAACCAGGGGGAGGGATGATGTATTCTGGCTAGGCATCTCGAACAAGATTGTGGCCTCTGAAGTCCTTTCAAACGGGACCGAAGGGGAGGGGACAGGGGCATTGCGATAGAACTGTATATAATGTTACGAGTTTGAATGTTTGAGTGTGGTCTCTGGTTTAGAACTTCCTGTTGAAGCTTCTCTGAGATCCACCGTGCTTTGCAAACTGCTTTTTTTCTATTTTCTGCAGAATAAACTCTTTTCTTACCAATCCAATTTTGTTGGTGTTTTAATTCCATTTCCAACACCAGGAATCAAGACTGACTTGAAGGCACTAAAATGTTACATTACCTCTCCCTTTGTTCAAATAATGCTCAGTAGGTAGAAACTTACTGTTTTACAAATGAGGGCAAATTTATACAGCATCTCTGCCCTGCTCTGTGTGGGGTCTTCCATGGTAATGCACTGCAAACTATTGCCATTCAGGAATGCACATTGTGTGTTGTGCTTTAGGATGTGGAATCCATGAAAAAGGTGTGCCAAGACTCCAAGTAGAAAATGCAGGGCTACCATGTATGTGGGATACACATGTCAACATTGCACGAAGATACCCATCCCCACTTGCCTGCAGCCACTTAATGCCATGCATATGAACAAGGTCTGGCTCATGGTCATCACTAGACACCAGCCACTCCATTATCACATCTATTGGCTTGGACTTTGTCATGCATACGTCACAGTGACATTGTTCAGCATTTCTGAGGCAACATGTACCATACTAGATCACAAATGCATTTGTGATGTCTGATAACTCATTCTTCCAGTTCTGTCAATACCATAATACCAGGACTTCTTTGCAATTGCTGCTTCCATACAAATCAAGGAATCCCATTGCCATCTGTTTCCACTGCTACTCCATACAGTGAATGCTAAGAATAGTTGGAATGGACGCTCAGTCTCAGCAGAAAACCAATCTCTGGTGGGGTTGCTGCAGCCACACATATTGTTGGATACCACTATTAGTATGTAATTGGACCTGATTGAAGAAGGAGGAGAATGACTGCTCTTCTGTAATTGTTGTGATACCTAGAATAAAAGACCAGGATCTCCGGGCTCTTAAAGATGGCAATTCACAGGGTACAATTCTGTGGTGAGCTTGTGTACATGGGAGTTAGAAGAGAGATCCCTCAGAAGTAGCAATGGTGATTATATCCTACATTAACAAAATGGTGGAGTGGATTTCATTGATGTGGTTGTGGGACAGGGAACGAGCAAATATGAAAGGCAGGGATTTATATTATGAAACACATTATGTCATTGATTTTGTTTGCTGTTGCTATGAGTGCTAGATGCCAATAGATGTTGCACTGTGAAAGATGGTCCTCTTAAGCTCGTGTCAGTTATGCATGACAAACCCTAACTCTTAGTTAACAGAAAGTCTAAAATTATCGTCCAATTCATTTGAACCATAAAACCCCAACAAATCCTTAGTTAAAGGAAGCATATAGTAACTCATGCATCTATTTTTACTCTTCAAGGTATCAAAACTTTCCAGAGCAGATAGAGCTATAAATGAGTCCTTCAAAATAGAAGCAGGAATGAAATGAATAAAGTCAAACATTTTTTCATAATATCTTTAATTTCCTTGTTTTTGAAATGTCACTGAATCCAATGGAAAACAATTAGAGAAATCATTCTTCTCTTTATATTAACCTTTGTTCTTTAGAAAACCTCTGAACAATCTAATCTCAAAGCTGTTGCTGCTACTGTGTTTCCCTGAAAGTAAGAACTACCCCCAAAATAAGCCCTAGCATGATTTTTGGGGGTGGGCCTAATGTAAGCCCTACCCCCAAAATAAGCCTCAGTTTTGGGGCAAGGCACACATCTAAAAATCAAGCTAGGGCAGGTGTGGGGGTGTGGAGCTGCTGCACGCACCCCACATCCACTTATCTTGCAGCCAGGCCTCTCCTTACTGGCCCACTTCTTCTGCAGCATCCCCAGGCTGCATTTTGCAGTCAGAGGCTTTTCTGGAAGGCCACTGCAACCAAGAACCAAGCTATGGACTCAACCCATAGCTCGGTTCTTGGCTGCAGTGGCCCGCCAGAAAGGCCTTTGACTGCAATTAGTTACATGCTTACTTAGAAATGAAGAATTTATTTATGTATGTGGCTATATAAACACACACACACACACACACACACACAAGAAATACAATCCCACTCAGTGAAAGCAGTAAAATAGAATTTGTGAACCATTATTTAAGATGAAAGTGTGACCAAATCCATGGCTTGAAAATTATCTTGAAGACAAAATTATTCAAAACCTTTGCCAATAAAAAATAGAAAAGAATGTTGACAGTAAAAATATAATCGTGGACAGTAATGTCATAGACTAAACTACCATAGCTTGAAGAGCATTTCAGAACATCGCAACCTACTTCAGGAATGTTATACTTTAATTAATGTATAATATGTGTGCTAACACAAGGTTTCACAACTTGCATATTCAATGCAAAAGCAGTACAGAAGTAGAAAAGTATACAAATGCTTAACATAAGATGTGATAAGAAAAAAAATTGACTCCACCAATAGTCAAGGATATACATTGTAATTGAGTAACCTCACAGAAATGACAATGGATTGACTTCATTATACAACAACAGATCAGTGTCGGACAAGAACAATTCTTGATTGGATACATGACCTTGAAAGACCCAGAAAACACCCAAATAAATGCTTGAAAAATAATGTGACTCAATTTGAAGGTGTTAACTGGAAACTATTTGCAGTCAGTTGAAGAGGACTTAATGGACTGATTTGGGCTGATAATGATATGTAAAAATAAGTCTTATCAACTAAAATAGACTTCAGTACTTATCATTGAACATACTCTTAAGATGAAATTACAAAGAACAGACTGAGCAGTTAATTAAAAAGAAATACCCAAATGCTGGGGTAAATTCTGGCCTTTAGTTTTATTTTTTTAAGAAGACAAACTTCTTAAAAGGAGACAACTTTCCAGTCTACTAACTTGAATATAGTGCTATGTTTTTTAAGCTTGACAACTTTAAAATAAGTGGACCAACTACCAGAATTCCCTTTCCAGCACACAAACTAGGGAATTCTGGGAGTTGAAACCACAGACCTTAAATTTGCCAAGTTTGAAAAATACTGATCTAGTGACAGGTTACTGAGCCTAGGCTGCAAAAGCCCAGTAGACATCGCTAGACAGCTGCAGTGACATAGAAATTCTACGTTGTCATTATCTAGCTTTCATATGGATTTCTGAGCTCAGATGCGGTATGATAGTACAAAGTGGAAATTCAAGATGCAGTTGATGGAGGAATGAGGGTGAGGGTTCGTTCTCTGAGTTTGTGGGTTGGTTTCTGAATGTTTCATTATCAGGTTAGCTCACATCTTCAGCGGAGTTTAAGGGATATCAATGTCAGTGTTCTGTTTATAAGGGCTTCAGGCATGAGTGCCTCAAGTGAGGGTCTTGTGATGGGTTGGTTACATCAGGTCTGGGTCACTGGGATGTGAACTGCTTGTGTGGGAGGGGGGTTGTGTGGGTTGGTTGAGGGTTGGTACTGTCTCTGGTTAGCTGTGCAGTTGATTTGGATTCTGAGAGAATGAACTTCACCCTCATCCTACACCCAAGCTACAGATATTCGCTACTATTGATGGAAGAATGCTGAAGCAGTAACTAGTGGGCCTAGGTCAGATCACGTGACCCCAAATCTCAAGCCTTTGAAGTTTTTCAGGAGTACTGGAGTACAACTACCAGCCAACTTTTAAGGTAGTCAGGATTTCAGGAAAGAGAAAGAGATCTCCCAACTGTAAAAGAAACACACGGAGGGATCGATGCTACAGCGAGTTACACTAAGGAAACACCCAAGAGTCATTGATGAGAAACGGTAATCTTCTGTCCCCAATTTACGAAACGGAGGCGGAAATGGCAGCTCCAGGGGCTTTAGTCGCCACTTCGCCACATGATCTGGCCATCGCGTGACTCCCCAACTCTAAGTTGCAGGAGGAACAAGACGGAAAGCCTGCAAGAGCTTCCTACGAGCAAGCGAAAGCGTGTGGCCCTTCGTTCCACTCCGACCCTCTAGTCTCCCCCAAACTTGCTATGGCCTCTCCGAGGCTGGAAACCTTCTGTTGCCCCAACAGGGACGTCTCCACGCAGCTTGTGGTGTCTTTCAAGTCAGAAGTCTTTTGCGGGGTTTGCCTTGGCAGCGCCTCTGCCGGGATTCTCTTGAGCGCCCTGCAACTCCTCCCGAAGAAGGATCGGGGCTCCGGAGGAATTTCCAAGGCTTCCTCTTCCACCACCATCCTCCTCCTCATCTCCGCCTGTGACATGCTGGGCTCTCTGGGTAAGAAGGTCACTTCTGGTGAGATGGGCGACTATATACATTTGATAACTAAATCAATCCCACCAAAGAGCAGAGAGAGAGGAAGAGAGACGGAGGGGCTGGGAGAAAGAGTCTCTCTTCCAGCCGCCTAAGGATATTTTAATACAAGACTTAAGGTAGACGGTGATAGAGAAACGAATAAATAAGTAATAAGTACTTTGACAATGCACATCAATGGTTTGGAATCCAATTGATCTTCACTAGCATTGCAGCCTAGTTTCTGCTTTGTAGGTGATTTTAAGTGGACTTACTCCTAAGTCAGGAAGTATGAAATTTCAGATGTTTAAGACTGAATCTCCTTTTCTACTCATTAATTCTTGTTCTGTTAGCAGTTGGTTTAGTGGAACTAAATACACCACACAATACTTGGAATATGAAATTGTAATAGGGAATATTAAAGCAGGGGGTTGGACTAGAAGACCTACAAGGTCCCTTCCAACTCTGTTATTCTTAATACTGTATATATTATCCTAGGACAACAGTACCAGTAAATTAGCTCCTCTGACATACATAAAGAAAAACAATAGACAAATAAAGGCAACACTGTCTGGTACAGTATGTTGAAATTTATTCCTGGACTTTCTGATATGCAATAAACCATTATATGTTATTTCAAAGCGAGGTATGGTATGTGATTTGTATTTGTGATTTGTATTGCATTTGCTGTCACTTCATTTTAGTATTATATAAAAGCCAGCTGCTCTGTTGCCTAATTGGTTTGTCTACTAGTATGTAAGCATTCTTGATCCCCTTTCCACAATACTCAAGACTCATAATTTGATAAATCTGAAGCCAAATAGAAAAACCTGCAATGACCAGAATTGTTCTTAAACTTGTTCTGAATACACATAGAAATATCTTTGGATATGATGGGAATTGCTTCTTAATCCACATGCAGTTGGACTTTGTATGCACTACAACAAAGTAATTTTTTAAAAGATAAATTACTGTTAGGTAGATGAAATAGTAGTGAATATTAGTTATTTCACAGTTGAACCATAATCTCCAATGAAAAACTGATTAATGTGTTAACAGTGACTCAGACGGAATATGAAGGAAATTGAATCTACTGCATTTTTTCAAACATCTTTATTTAGATATAGATTTTGCTTTTCCAGTATTTGTAATAGTTTGCTAAAAATTCCCTTTAAAAACCCTCTCTTTTCCCCTTGTCTTATGAAAGGTATTCATGAAAGCAGAATGGGAGGGAGCAAGGGAAAGAGAGCTCTCATTGACCTATTTATTTTCACTGCCACATTTCCTCTGAAGAATTTGACTAAAACTATTCAGTTTTTAATCCCTTACATGTCTCAGTTCATGAATGAAATCTATCCTTTCAGATCTAGGCATTCACATGACCATAGTGATAATTTGAAAGCTGGGTCTGCTGGCAAGCATATGATTTTTCCCAATCCTTCTCCCACAACACAGCTATAGAAGACAATTCCCATTAATCCAGTCAGTGGTTCTTGCAGTAGTGTGCAGTCTTACTGTGACAAAGGTCACTGAGAATGCAGATTATTCCATCTTTCTTTCCAGAAATGGCTAGGATTGGCCAGAGAACTGACGGGATTCTTATATTGCTGATCCTTTCCTTATTAGCCAGGCAGGCAGCTGTGGACCAGAAGATGGAAGGCGGAAGTGTATGCATGTGAGGGAGTAAAACTATAGTATTTCTAATCCTGATTCATACCAGTTTCTACATTTTCTCTCCTAATACATACACAGAAGCAAAGTTGCCAGAGGGATCACCCACCCTTTAACTGTCAGATCAAAACCTTTACCAAAATATCACTTGAGAAGGAAAATACACTCCCATTGTAATAAAAATAGACTTTTAATGAAAGATAAAAACAAAATCAAAAGAGATGGGTGTTCTCAATCCTGTCTAATCTCACATAAGACAAGGGGGGAGAAAAAATAGGTAAAAAGAACTTTTCCCAGTCCTTAAGGCCACACCCTGAGTTACATGGAAATAAGCCTTGGAAAGCAGAACAGCAGAACCAAATCCTTATCTATCATCTACCTTTTTCCTTGATAGCTGCTACTGTTTGTGTTTGAGGAGAAAAGGGGGACAGAGAGAAATCACTGAAATAAAAACAACAAAAATATTTGGAACATATATTTTAGAAAATGTTTTCCTCTTTCAAGGGTTTTTGAAAACAGGAACCAAACATAAAAGGGTCTTAGAATGATTAGCAACATAAATAGAATATAACACTAGTTCTAAAAATGGGCAATTATCCTTGGGAGATTCAAAATAATTCAGAATAGAATAGCTTCAAGTTATAAAAGGGAAAAACAATTCATCATAGAAAACTGAATGAAGTCTCATTTTCTTTTTAATACTTTTGGAAAGTATAAAACAACATGAATATTAAGGTGGTCAGAGTTGTAGCATTAATATGGATTTATTCTCTTCCTTATAGGTATAATCTTCCGATCTATCGTCTGGTTAGGGTTCCCAGACTTTGTGGCAAATATATCTTTAGTAAATCAAACTGATATATGGCCTGCTACATTCTGTGTAGGAAGTGCGGTAGGTATAAATGAAATGAATGAAATTGCTGCTAGATTGTATTGATATCTTTCTCCTTTGAAAAGATCAGGATAGAATACTTGGGGAATGTTCTTATTCTTTCTAACCCAGAGGAATATTGCAAATAAATAATTCAAAGATACAGGGATTCTGTCTGCCTATTTGTACAGGAAAAGAAAGGATCACATTTGATATGGGGGCACAATAAGTAGATTAATGAAATACCAAGCTTAAAAATGGACCTGATCCGCCCTTTGGTTGTAGAGAAAAAAATAACTGGGGTGCTGTATGCAAACTAAACTGGAAATTACCCACAATAATGTTGCAAGTTACATTCCTCCAGAGTATGGGCAGTAACTTGGAATGTTGGTAATTGCTCCATTTGAAACCTTCCTCAGGTGTTGGTCATGTGATCCCAAACAAGAGCTTTATATGGCCTGCTCTGCTTATGCTTCCTAGTGCACAAACATGCATCCCGACTTATGACCATTGTTGATAAAAAGATTATAAAGCATTCCAGAAGACATGTTTCTCATGCTTTTGTTTCCTATTTTATATTGGTAAAGTGATTCAATGTGTGAGCTTTATAATGGAATGGAATAAGTATGTGACATTTCATGAAATGTTCACTTTTTTAGTGTTGGTTTATGTGCAAAGGCATGCAAGAGCCAAATCCACATATGTCATAACTATAAATAGATAAAAAATGCTAGTGAAATCTTCTCCTAATTAATATCCAAAAACTTATTCTGGAGTCCCATAAATACTGCTACAGTAACTGGGGTTGATGGGTGTGGTAGGCTCCATATCATGAAAAAGGTTGCAGAATGATCTATGTATTGCTAATTCAAATAGCCAGAAGAACAGGGAATAATCATTATTTTTAGACTTCATAATGGCATCTGGAAATCATCTTGGGAAAGAGGAAGAAGAGCCACAGCCTAGCCCTAGACAACAGGATGATAAATGGGGTGGAGAAAGTATCAGAAGACTAAAAGTGAGGGATGTGAGAGGTACTTTCTGACTTGTAAGACTCTGTAAATGTATCCTTACAATAATGACAAAATTAGTATTCATGGTTGTTCTTGTCTGGACTGTCTCAAACTAATAGATATGTATCTTTTATAATAAATATGAAAGTAATATTAGACTGGTTTGAAACAAAACTCTTCTCCAGCCACATTCAGGACCGATCAGTAACTACTTTATTTCCTGAAGTCATACAATTTCTCCCAATACAGCTCTTAAATATTCTGAGTTGAAGTTCTACAGCGTTTCTTAATATGAGTGTAAGGACCCACCTCACTTTACATCTTAAGAAGACAGAACTCTTGGAATATCTCTTCCAACAGGCATCTTTATTAAGAGAAAATGATTGCAGGCATGCTAGACAGGATCTGGGGGATTCTGTCCCATCCTTCAATGTTTTGAGTGTTCCCAAGCAGCCCCCACCCCACAGTTCTTCCGGGCGACAATCACTCATCCTCTTTTCCAGATCCCAGGCGTTGCCCTTTTCCCTCACTGCCGGCAAAAGGGAGACTTCAGAGAGAGAGTAGATGAAAGGCAATGGCCATATTTATTTATTTATTTATTATTTCAATTTATATCCCGCCCTTCTCCCGAAGGACTCAGGGCGGCTCACAACATTATTAAAACAAAGAAAGACCCACACACCCCACCGAATAAAACCAAATTAAAACCAAAATTTTTATGTTGTGATAATTAAAATTTCTAAAAAACCCAGTTTAAAAATCCTCCCTAGGCCAGGCCNAGTAAGGAGATCCGGAATAATCCGGATCTCGGGGGGTAGTTCGTTCCAGAGGGCAGGGGCACCCACAGAGAAGGCCCTCCCCCTGGGGGTCGCCAGCCGACATTGCTTGGCCGACGGCACCCTGAGGAGACCCACTCTGTGGGAGCGTACCGGTCTATGGGAGGGAATCTGTGGCAGAAGGCGGTCTCGGAGGTAGCCATATTGTTATGGTCAGTCCTTTTGATGAGAATCAACATCCAGTCACTTTGTAGTTTAATGAAGGAAGTGAGAGTCATAAAACCCCCTTGCTTATCCTCCTCCCCTTTCGTAGTATGATATAATCCAGAGAGAGTAAGAAATGGGTTTTTTTTCAGAGTAGGTAGCTAGAAATGAAATATAATTGGATTCTGAAAATGAGCTTTTAAAAAACTTTTCAGGCAAATCTATAGTGAGCTCATAGGTTATAGGATTTGGTAAATGTGCTGTTATATTAGTTCTCAGTTTTTATTTTTTATGCTAGTAATAACAATTTTGTGACTTTTGCAAAAATGCATTTTTATATAAATAAAAAACAGGTGATGGTCTAAAGCAGCAAATCATATGCCCATTTATTTAGTAATAATCATCTTGAATGTACTTAACTTCTGCTCTTCATTTAATTTTTGTTAATGTTTTTAGAGCAGCATTTGCTTTCAGTTGGGTTTCTTAAAGCTGAATTTCATTTTTTTCCTTTGAGAAAAAAAGTTTGACTTTCAGTATTGCATGCAACATGATTAAATTATAACTTTCTGTAGGTAAGCTATATTACTCTTTGGCAATAAGGACTAAAAAAAATGTAAGACGAAAGTAACTTAAGTAAAAATAAACAATTGAAGGAATTGACGTGGAAGTCAAATAGAAATAAAGTTTCAGACCAGTGTAATATGCAGTTCCTATGAGCAAAAATGCTAGACTTGTAAACATTAAGAACTGATAAATGATCTAAACAAAATGTGTGAATTATGTGCATGCCATGGAATTTAGTTTGATTGAAAACTGCATATTCTAATTTCCATCCAAGAGAGAAATATGTGCAACCAAGTTTAATATATTTAATAATTTTGTCATGAAGTACAGTCACTAGTCCTGAGTAACCAAGATTATGAAAACCACTCTTAGTTTCCTTTAATTTGACTTCTCAGAGTATGCCGTGCTTAAATAGCTTTTTAATATCTTACTGTTCTTTTGGAGTAAAAAAGAGAATAGATTGTACATTTGGATTGTGCAGAATTTTGATTCTAAAAATTCAAGCACCTGTCTGCATCTCTTTAAAGTAGCTGTGTTTTTTCCTATACTCATGGCTATTGGTGAGATCAGTGGTAAAATTCTGGAAAAATGTAGATATGGTAAAGACCTGTATTCATGCTCTGACACGTTCTCCAGCATGATTGGATGGAGAATCCACAAATGGGTTGTCTTAATCTTCCTGCTCCAATAAGACTAAGTCTGAAGTGTAGATACGCCTCTGCTGTGCCATTTGCACCCCAGTTTTAGACTTAGTCTTCAGCTCTACTGACGCGTTTTAAGCTCTTGGAGCAGAAAGATTAATTCAGGTTCCTTATAAATTCTCCTTTGAGATCTTAAATTTTTTTTCATGCTAGATTATATTATTGGACTTATTAATTATAAAAAGGGTCCTACCTTAACTCTCTTGCAGGCGGCTGCCTGCCCCATCTGAGCCAGCAGGCTCCACACGGTAATCGTGTGTTGTTCCTTTCCCTGAGGTAGGACAATTAGTTGCTTTCCTGCAGGCCTTTTGCCTTCAGGCTTCAGGCCCTCGCCGATCATGACGAGCTCACGGGGATTGGCGCTGCCTCTTCAAAAGCCGAGATGTGAATTGAAGCCTCCAGCAGCACCAACGGCCAGCTGATCGGCGGGAGAGGCCGAAAATTCAAATTGGAGATCGGCGCGGCTTCTCCGAACGAGGAGAAGCGATTTGAAGCCTCCGGCAGCACCAACGGCCAGCTGATCAGCGGGAGAAGCCGCGACGCGATTTGAAGCCTCCAGCAGCACCGACGGCCAGCTGATCGGCGGGAGAAGCCGAGACTCCGATCGACGATTCCAGATGGCCTGAAGCTCAGCGCGACTTCTCCTCACCGGTGAGCGAGTCTGAGTGCCGCCAAACAGCTGATTGGTGCGGAGGCCCGAAAAAGGGCCTGTCAGGTCAGCAAGGCCTCCGGCTTAGTAAAGGAGCCCAGGAGCTTCCTCCTGGAACGAGGGCTCGATCTATTTGCCTGACAAGCGTGAGGCTTCCAGGCCTCTGGGACTCAGCTGGGCCCAAGTTAATTGCAGGCCTCAATGGTCGTTTGGCGTGCATTTTAATTGCGGCCGCCATTTTGTGCCGGCCGCCATTTTGAAACAAGATTTCTGAGGCCTAGCCATGCTGCTGACTGTGGGGTGGGCAAGCTCGTCCCTACAAGGACGCACTGCCTGGCGATTAAACCCCACCACCACCACCCTCACCTGGATTGCAGAATCCTTCGTCTGGGCTCTTTCAGTGGGTTTAAAGCGCTTGAGGGGGGGCGCCTCACACTGAACAGAGCCCTCAGAAGCCTTGCCTCAGAGATAGTCAAGCATCATGGCAGACCCGACGTCATCATCCACTGAACTCTCCGCAAAGAGGAAGCAGGGGAAGAGTTCATCGAAGGGCAAACAGCCCTCCAAACGACCCAGGTCAGACAGGGAGCCCACCATTCACCATTCCACATTGGAGGGGGATTCCTCCAGGCCAAGGTCAGCTAATATACCCCAATTAACTACTACATCTGGAGGGTCCATATTTGAGCCCCTATCTGCTCATTGCAGTTTAGCCCCAGGGGCCTGGTCTCCCCCCAGGGAGGTGACACAGTCTCAAGCTAGCTTATCAGGGCTACATTCAGGGACACGGGGTAGCTGCACAGGGCATCCCTCTAGCTGGGCCTCAGGCCACTTTTACACCTACTGCAGCTGGCCTACGCCCCCCCGAGGTATAGTCATTAGGCCCTGAATGTTTCCAGGCTATGATAGCTCAGGCTGTGGCCCAGTTCATGGCCTCCTCCGGGGCCCAACACCCTCCTTAAGTCCCCACACCATCCCCACGGTCCCTTAGCTATCCTGAGTCACCAGAGGACGTTTCCTCGGACTCAGAATCCGTAGGCTTTGACCATTCAGGCCTCATCCTATCGGATGACGAGGGTACATCTACATCAGATCCGGCTCCACCTGTCGGTCTCTTTGACCATTCCCTTTTCAACTCCTTGCTACTTAAGGCCTGCACCACAGCTAACATCTCTCCAGAGCAGGAGGCCCCAACTCCTCCTGCATCAAAGGACCCCAATCCAATTTATGCTGAACCGGTGGTACCGCAGAAGCATATCCCTTGTCCCCCGTTCTTCAGCAACACGGTGCTGAAACAGTGGGAGAACCTGGGCTCTATCCCCAATCTAGGTTCTACAGAGAAAAATTCGTTCAATGTGGCTCCTTCCTTCACCTCATTGTTAGAGGTTCCCCAAATTGACGAGCCTCTGAATTCTCTGTTTTCGAATACAAACATCCCAGGGGACATAACTGAGGCCCTTAAGGCAGAGAACAAAAAGATTGAAGCTGCCCTACGCAGGTCGCATCAGGCGTCGTCCTGGGCGGTCAAGGCCTCCACATCCATGGCCTTCTTCGCTCGGGCTTCAGTACTGTGGCTACGTGAACTTCAGGACATGATTCCACGTGACCAGGTCCGGGTGCACCAAAACCTGGGTAAGTTGGTAGCCACATCGCAATACATGGCTGATTCCTCCCTTCATGCCGCCAGATACTCTTCACGGGCCATTGCGGCGGACATCTCAGCCCGTAGACTTGTGTGGCTTAAGAACTGGCGGGCGGACCTAAAGGCCAAGTGGCGCCTAGCTACGAAGCCTTATAAAGGGGGGCATCTATTTGGCACGGCTCTCGACCCTTACCTAATAGAGGGCAAGGACAAGTGCAAAACCCTTGTTAACACTGCCAGAAAGGGAGACAAGCGCTCAGGAGCCAGGTCAGCACAGAACTACTATCGTAGGCAGCACTTTCGGCCAGCTTCCACCTGGGACTGGGCCCAGGCCTCTCGCACCTCCTACCAAAGACCTGAGTGCCAACAGGACCGTTCCACATACAGAAACTGGCCACAAGCCCAAGCCAAGCGGCCCTTTCGAGGCATAGGAGGACGCTTCTTCAAATGAGGCAAGTGATTCCACAGGCTCCCCTCCTATAGGAGGCCGGCTGTCCCTTTATTCTGACATATGGGCAGCCACTACCACGGACTCATGGGTTTTAAACACCGTTACTCAGGGTCTGATGCTGGAGTTTTGGTCCAGTCCACCCGATCGATTCCGATCTTGCCCCATCCCCACGAACAGCACTAGAGCGGCCCTCATGTCGGAGGCCATAGCTCACCTTTTACAGATTCAGGCCATAGAACTGGTACCGCAGGACCAGGAGAGACGGGGGTTCTACTCAAATCTTTTCGTCGTTCCCAAATCTTCAGGAGGCTGGAGGGCAATCTTGGACTTAAAAGGTCTAAATTATTATCTGAAGTACAGGAAGTTCAAGATGCAGTCTCTGCAGTCAATTTTGGCTAGCATCAGAAAAGGGGACTTCCTTACTTCAATAGACCTAACTGAGGCATATTTGCATATCCCCATTCTCCCTGGACATCGCAAATTCCTCAGGTTTAGTTATGCCCACCGACACTACCAGTACAGGGCCTTACCATTTGGCTTTTCTTCAGCACCTAGAATGTTTACCAAGGTACTGGCTGTACTGGCCGCCCACCTGAGACAGTCTCCAATCAGAGTCCAATGTTATTTGGACAACATATTAATACAGTCCTCCTCCTACCAGAGCGCTCAATCAGACCTCGCTCTTACTATCAGGACCTTTCAGGAGCACAGGTTTTCTGTCAACTTCCAGAAAAGCCACACTGTGCCCACAACTCAGCTCCTACACCTAGGGGCAATTATAGACACGAGCAACTGTACGGTCTATTTATCACAGGACTGTCGGGTCAGCATTCGGGCCCTTGTCCATCGGGTCCAAAGAGCCAAGGTGGTCACATTGGCCTTGCTATCACAGCTCCTTGGGAAGATGGTGTCCTGTGTACAGATTGTTCCGTGGGCACGCCTCCATGCCCGGGAACTGCAGTGGCTTCTTCTTCCATTTCAGAGGCTACGCATCAGCTCTTCCAACCAGAAGGTTCGAGTTCCGTGACCGGCGTTGAACTCCCTTCGATGGTGGGCCTCCCCAGCACTGTCACAGGGCACAGAGTTCAGAGAACCAGCCAGAATCACCCTTACCATGAACGCCAGTCTATTCGGCTGGGGAGCACACCTCCAGTCGCATTGGGCTCAGGGTCGATGGTCCCAGGAGGAACTAAAAAACAATATAAACTGGCTGGAACTCAGGGCCATACGTCTGGCCCTACAACACTTCAGCGACATAGTAGCAGGACAGCATGTCCTGGTACTTACCGACAACATTGCTGCCAAGGCACACGTCAACAGACAGGGAGGGACAAGGTCCAGGCCTCTCATGGAGGAGGCCCAGTTGTTGGGGGTTTGGGCGGAATTGAATCTTGCTTCCATCAGGGCGGAGCACATATCTGGAGTGGCCAATCAACAGGCGGACTCCTTAAGTAGAGCCACTGTGGACCATGCTGAATGGCGACTGGACCCGGAGGTGTTCCAGGAGATCGTGGACAGGTTTGGTTCCCCAACCTTAGACCTTTTTGCTTCCCCAACCAACTCCCAACTCCCCAGATTCTTTTCCAGGTTCCCGTCTCCGACAGCAGAGGGGACGGATGCCCTCCACAGCCCCTGACCAAGGGGACTACTTTATGCCTTTCCTCCCCTGCCGCTCCTTCCCGCCACGATCCGGAAGACACTACACGAACGAACGGAGATCCTGCTGGTTGCACCGCACTGGCCGAGACGCCCGTGGTTCGCCGACCTGATGGAGCTCTCCGTCTCCCCTCCGTGGAGGATCCCAGCAGGTCGTATTTCCCTCACTCGGGGAACTCCAGCACCTGGACCCGCAGTGGCTCCAGCTAACCGTTTGGCACTTGAACGGCGGGCCTTGAGCCGAGACTCATATTCGTCGAGGGTGATAGCCATGATTCAACAATCCAGGCGCCCCTCGACAAATAGAATATATGATGCCACATGGAGGAGCTTCTGCGCTTGGTGTTCAGGGCATAAGGTAGAACTCTAGGCTATCTCCGTGCCGATTGGAGTTTCTAATGGATGGTTTGGACAAAGGGCTATCCCTGAACACCATCCGTAGACAGGTTGCAGCCCTTGCTACGGTAATCACGTGTGACAATGCTGTTCCTCTGGCACACCATCCTATGGTTCGCTCCTTTTTGAAGGGAGCATCCAACGCAAAATCACCAACAGTACATCGATACCCCTCGTGGAACCTTCACCAGGTCTTACAGGCACTCGTTTCATCACCATTCGAACCTATTGCCACATGTTTGTTTAAACTATTGTCTATGAAGATGGCATTCCTCGTTGCGATCACCTCGGCCAGGCGGATCTCAGAACTGGCCGCCCTTTCGGTCAACAAAGAACTGTGTGTTTTCCATGCGGACAGGGTTACCCTCAGACTAGACCTTTCCTTTGTACCTAAGGTTAACTCCTTGTATCATAGATCCCAGGAAGTGGTTTTACCAGACTTCTGTCCTAATCTGTCCAATGACATTGAAAAGCAGTGGAACACACTTGACGTACGCAGGGCCCTGCAATGTTACATAAACCGGACTTCGGCCTTCCGTAGGTCCGAGGCAATGTTTATATCCTTTCAACCTTTGTCCATGGGGCAGAAGGTCTCCTCCTCCACAATAGGGAGATGGATTAGCATCGCCCTAGCATACCAAAGTCAATCATTGACAGTTCCTAGGCATATAACAGCCCATTCCACCCGGGGCGCCGCTACTTCGGCGGCTTGGGCAACCCAGGCATCCATAGGGGAGATTTGCAGGGTGGCGGCATGGTCCTCGTCCTCGTCCTTTGTCCGTCACTATAAGATTGACAAATATGCATCTTCCGATGCCTCATTTGGTCGCAGGGTGTTGAATCATGCATTGTCATCTAGCGGGACCCAGGCCCAGACTGATTCCCCCCCTTAGGGACACAGGGCTTTGGTATGTCCCATTTGTGGATTCTCCATCCAATCATGCTGGAGAAGGGGCGTTGTATTACCTGAACGCCTTTTCTCAGCACTCCCTCCCATTTGGGGTCTGTGGGCCCTGGGTCCGGTAGTAGGACAGTATACGCGTCGGACTAACATCTGTGTATCGCCTTAGTCTCAAACTGGGGTGCAAATGGCACAGCAGAGGCGTATCTACACTTCAGAATTAGTCTTATTGGAGCAGGAAGATTAAGACAACCCATTTGTGGATTCTCCATCATCATGCTGAGAAAAGGCGTTCAGGTAATACAACGCCCCATCTGAAACATTTATTTTTCAAATTAGTTGAATTTGAAGCGCTGAGCAAACTTATTACTGTACATATATTTGAATTTAGGAAGAACGTGCTACTCATGGGTAGATGGAAATTATTTGATCCAATTTTCTTTGGTGTTTTGTTCTATGTAATATACTGAACACAGCTGGACATAACATTTCAGACTTACAAGTAACAATATTTCAATAATCCTGTTGTAAGTCCCTATGATACATGATTTTCTGTTTGTTTCTCAGATGTGGATCCAACTTTTGTACAGTGCTGTCTTTTGGTGGCTGTTTTGCTATGCTGTGGATTCGTACTTGGTAGTTAGAAGATCAGCAGGAGTAAGGTATCACAAATGAACATTATATTTTAAACATGCGGTATCTTCAGGATGACATATTTTAATGGTTAAGTGCACATTTAAATAGCTTTATCTTCATGAATATGGATAACGATTTGCTTAATAATTAATATGAGAGCCAATTTGGTGTAGTGGTTAAGGCATCAAGGTAGATACCAGGCAAATGTGAGTTCAAGTCCGGTCTTAGGCACAGAGCCAGCTGGGTGACCTTGGATCAATCACCTTCTCTCAGCCATAGGAAAGAGGCAAAGTCAAACTATTTCTGAAAAACTTGTCAAGTAAAATACAAGGACTTGTGCAGGCAATATCTGAGAATTGAGCACAACTGAGCGGGGAAAAATATATTTCTTTGCTATTTAATATTTGCTATCAACATTTAATTGGGTTTTATTCTGTTTAGGTTTGCTATAGAGTGTATTTTCATATTGATATTTTCTATTATTATATTGTATTGCTTTTAGAGATGTAAACTAAAACTTTTCGAAAGCTTATCTTTGTATTCTTTTTTCACTATCAGTTTAACTTGCCTTGTAATTTATATGAAAGGAATTCATATAATTTTTGAAGTTGACAAGGAAAAATATTCACATTTTATTTTTCTGTACAATATTCTAGCACTATTGTGTTGTACCATATGATGACATGGGGCTTGGCAATTTTGCTGTGCATGGAGGGAGTTGCTATGCTCTATTATCCTTCAGTTTCTAGGTAAGTAAGTGATGGGAAGACTTGGAAAAAAATGGAAAAATTGAAAAAAAAACAGGGTTTCCCCCCTCCCCATTTTCCCCCTTTTTTCCAAAGCCGTTTGGAAAAAAATGAAAAAAACACCTGTTTTTTTTTCAATTTTTGCAGTTTTTTTCCAGGCCTTCCCATCTAATATTACTAATGTTACCTGAATTTTAAATCATTCCAGTAATTTGTTTAAATTAAAGGACACTGAAAGCTATTGGTTAGGTCCATATTTATTAAAAGGTAGGGAATCTAACATTTGAAAGCCGGCTTCATTGCCCAGGTATACAATGGAATCCAAGCTTATTATGTTGTTCAGTTTTGAGGAGATACTTTTCCAGAGTCAGGAATTTGTAAGTGTCCATAGACAACATGGGAATTTGCACGGTGGAGAAAAATAAGTATATACATGTCAAAAGTAATTAAAAGACCTGACAATATTTACTTGAGTAAGTCTTAGGGTCTAATGAATGTTATAAAGAAGACCCTGCAGAGCAAGGTCTTGTGACAATACAGTGCTAATGTGGATATTGACAGGAGTCATTTTTAGGGGAACCTAAATGCATGCAAATGTTACACCTTCCTCCCACTACTAGCTTTTGTTATTTAACTTTTGTTATTTTTCCAGAGAATTTTAATTTCACAAAGGAACTCTAGTATTAGGAGGCCTGTGGGAGATGGGGAGTTGTTAAAGCAGTGAGAAGTGAAATTTGTATATGGAAAAAGTAACATCCTTTTTGTTTGCTGATTTTTTTTTGTTCCCAGTGTTCTCAAATTCTCAAATGAGCCATGTTACCAACAACCTGCTGTATTTGTATAACCAATTAAACCATTAAGAAACATATCACTCTGGAATTGCAACTGACTCTATGTCTAATTGCTGTGTAATGAGCAAGGAGGACATGAGAGAAAAGAGGAGATGAAATAGAGGAAAGGTTATAAGAGAGAACGAGTGATCTCACAAGTTTGGGATGTTGTCTTGCTCACTTCTTTAGTACAATGCATGCAAAATTATTGCAACCTTCAACTTCTGCTTTTATATTTTACTAGCTCTCTGCCCCGATCACATTTAAAGATATTTTATCTGAATGACTTAAATGTCTTTACTTCTCCAAATGCAAGTTATGGAATCAGTTGTTCTTTTCCACATAGAACATTAGAATATGTTCATACTTAGCCTTTTGGGGGTCAATCAGGTTAACATTAATTTCTTGCATTAGGCCATTTTTCAAATGCATTTCAATCCCTTTTCCTATTTTTCTATAAATTGAATCAATTAAGTGGCCTCCTGAAAGCTTCCAGCTTCATATGATTTCGCAATATAATCATTCTTTGTTTGAAAAACAGTCAGTTACTGTACTATCACTGTCAGTTAAACAGTATATATTTGTTCACACAAATACAGCCTTCTGTCCAGCTAGCAGTCGATGCTGCCATACTGAAGACACCTATTCAATATATTCCTATAGTCGCATTGTAAGCAAATCATAAGAAATCTTCCTTGATTAAGCAGGAAGCTTTTTCCAATTTGGGAACAAATAAATCAGAATTATAATCATCCGCTCTCCCTATTTTACAGTTGTGAAAATGGATTGGAGCATGCAATTCCTCATTATGTCACCACATATATTCCACTGGTGCTTGTTTTGATGGTCAACCCAATTCTTTTCAGTAGAACTGTTGTTGCTGGTAAGATTCCAAATGGCAATTAGATTTTTAATAGGAAAAAATGAAGATTAACAATTCTACTTACTAGGAAAGGGGGGGGCAGATCCATGGTATATTGCCTTCTTCATTCAAAACATGGCAGGCTTGCTCTAGCTAGGCAGGATCAGCTTCTTTATTGAATGAATATACTTCATTTCTGCTTTCTGCTTCTCAGTTGCATCTTTATTGAAGGGAAGGCAAGGAATCTACACAGAGAATGAAAGACGGCTGGGGACAGAGATTAAAAAGCGTTTTTTCAAAATTATGATGATCATAATTGTTTGGTAAGATTAAAAAAATTAAAGGAAACTTTTCAAAGGCAGGCAAATACATATGTTGGATTTTTGGCTGAACTATGTTTATTTTCTTGATATGTAAGTGCTCCACTTCAATTTTAATGTAGTATTATTCCTATTATAACTCAAAACTTTTTTTAATGTTGCCTTTGACAACAGTATGTTATCTCTCATATGTGGTGGCTGCAGTGGTTAGAATGCAGTATTGCATTCAGCTCACTGCCAGGAGTTTGATTCTCACTGGCTCAAGGTTGACTCAGCCTTCCATCCTTCTGAGGTCGGTAAAAGGAGGAACCAGATTGTTGGGGGCAATATGCTGACTCTGTAAACCGCTTAGAGAGTGCTATAAAGTGGTATATAGGTCTATATAGCTTGATATGAATACTAAATATTCATATCAAGCTATAATACTAGACTGAGGTCTATACAGCTTGATATGAATACTAAAAAATAAAAAATCCATTTTATAACTAGAGTTATAATAGTACTCTAATTAAAAACACATTATTTAATAATTTTTATGTACTTCTGTTTCTTTGAAGGAATTCTAACAAAATAATTATCTGTACTCATACTAATATTTATTATCCCTGAAAGGAAAACAAGTAATGTTGATAGAAAGTTGTTTTAATTTTGCTTTGAAAATAACAAATAATTATAAAGCTTTCTGTCTTGTTTTTATCCATAACTTTTTACATTCATAAAAGCTGGTCATCAAATATCATAAATGAGGGTCTTCTGTTCTACCTTGAAATGCAGCCAGATATCAGTGGAAGCTCCTTGAAAAATATCAGAACTGCTGCACTGATCACATGGATTATAATGGTATGAACTTTTCTAGTTGGTTTGCACATATATATATTTATGTGCAAGCAGCTTTGTAGGTGCTTTATATTGGGAAATTAGTTATGTAAAAGCAAATGTTTCATGCTTTAGGTGATTGCTTATATGAAAAGAGCACAGTAAGGGGAGGGGAAAAAGGAGTTACGGATGGAACCTGGGTTGCTTTGTATGAGTCATCATCTAGGAATTAATTTTTTGCCATCTTATGCCTGGTACCAAGACCTGATCTTTTTGTTCTGGAAAGGTATAAAAGGTGGAAGACATCTTTCCTGGTTGTTGCCTTCATCTCTCTACCAGCCACAAAGAGAGATGGGGTCACCCAACTCTATTTTGATCAAAATAAAAGTTGTTTGCTTGCTGAAACCTTGGCTCAGGAGTTTCTTTGGCTCTTTTAAGTTCCTGAGTAATGCTGGGACAATTGTGAGGCTAAGTGGAAAATCTTACAACAATTTATATACAACTGTGGTTTAATTAACAGTAACTTATTTAATAATCTGTTATTGTTGAGTTTGTATAATAGTGTTAAGCCAATCTGTGGTTTTGGATGTCATATGAGTCCAGCCATGCATATATATTAAAAGTTTGTTGAGGGGAAAACAGATTCTAAGATATTTTAAAATAGTTTGTATATACAACTTGTATATAAAAATATATGTATCCAGTGGTGCCTAGAAATTTGTGAACCCTTTTGAATTTTCAGTATTTCTACATAAATATAACCTAAACCATGACCTGTTCTCCACACAACTAGATAAAGAGAACTCAGTTAAACAAATGAGTCAAAAACATTATACTTGTTCATCTATTGATTAAAATGATCCAAAGCCACATATCTGTGTGCATCTGTGAGATTCAAATATGTGAAAAACCAGTTCTCTGTGTGGATGCTGCTTCCGGAAGTCCATTCTGGGCCTGGGCAAAGTGGTGTAAACGGGCTGAATCCCACCAGTGTGTGTGTGGCAAAAGTATGTCTTTTATCTAGTTTTAGGATTTGTGTGGAGAAGAGATCATGTTTCAGGTCATTTTCAAAAGGGTTCACAGACTTTTAAGCATTACTGTAGTTGTATTGAAGTATTTATATCAGATGAGTCATATCAAATTTGGTTCCTAAGAACGTCTTTGCCAGTTTTTCCTTTTTTTTCTTTTATATTGTAGCAACTATACACCAAACATTTGTTCTTCTTGTCCTCTGCCTCCTGCTATCATTGTCTTGCCTCTCCTATGTGCTTTTGATGTCATTCATTTCCTGTGGACTATCTCTCTTTCACATTGTTTGGCTCTCTCCCCTTTTTTGTCTGTTTTTTTAGCTGGAATTTTCTTGTGTCATTCATAGCTATTTTTCTGTATTCTTAGCAGGGATTTGACTTTGCTAAAAATCTCATTCCTACCCTAATGTTGTTTTACTTGTTCTGCCTTCATATTAGCCAGCAACTCTATAAAAATGGTCTTCTTGGGCATGACCAAAAGGTCTTGGGACTTCTGGGGAAGCAATGGTGGACTGAAGATGATTCCGCTTTCAGCAGAGCCAATGGTGAAATAAGGAGCTGGCAAATGGATTGGCACCTCAAAATTCCATTCCAAGATGGCGGCCACAGAGGAAGCATGGTTACATTGTGGGAAGAGAAGTTGCTATTAAACTAAGTTATCTTAAACTAAGACAAAACAATAGGAGAAGAGGGAAAGGGGGAAAGATAAGTCAGAAAAACAGACTAGAGAAGAGAAAAGGAGAAGAAAGATCTGCAGAGCAGAATCAGCTGTGGGGCGTAGAGGAAAGCCAACTGAGAGCAGCGCAATGACTAGCAGAGAGGAGAAACAGGAGAGCCAATGAGATTGTGGAGAAGGGAGGAGAGCCAGCCAGGAAGAGAAGAGGAGAGCTTACTGTGAACTATCCAGGCAACACTGTTTGCTGAAGGAAGCAGAACATTGGCACGATGGACCAGCAAATGGGAGCCACGTGGCCGCGGAGCTATTGGTGGGGGTGGTGAAACACTGCAGTACAGTAGACCAGGACCTACAGTCGGCAGCAGACCAGGTGCTATGGATACCGGTAGACCAGGGCCTACAACTGGCAGCAGACCAGGTGCTATGGACTCTGGTAGACCAGGGCCTATAACTGGCAGCAGGCCAGGTGCTACAGACACTGGTAGACCAGGTGCTATAGACAGCAGCAGACCAGGTGCTACAGACACCAGAAGACCTGGGCCTACAGACAGCAGCAGACCAGGTGCTATGGACAGCAGTAGACCAGGGCCTACAGACGGCAGCAGACCAGGTGATACCGGGATTTGACCGGGAGGCCTGCAGGTGGAAACGAGGCAGCACAACAGAAGCGGCAGAACAGCAGAGGATCCAACTGACAGCTCGAGAGAACCTGGCTGAATGTTGGAGACAGAGCAATGGCTGGAGACGGAGCGGCGGAGCAGTGATGGAGGCAGTTGGTAGGAAGGCCCAGCAGAGAAAACCTGGCTATTAAACCTGCTCAGCAGAGAAAAACCAACTAGCAAACCTGCCCAGCTCAGAAAGACTGGCTATTAGACCAGTTCAGCACAGAAAAACTAGCTGAATATAGAAGAGACGTCAAAGGAGCAACGGCTGGAGACAACTGGGGGCAATTAGAAAAACTGGCTGAGCACAGGAAGGCAGTCAAAAAAGCAAGACAGAGAGGAAAGAGATAAATAAGGAGCAAATTAAGAAAAGGAAGGATAGGGATGAATTTTTAGGCAGAGAGCAGAAAGCAAAAAGTAAATCCCTTGTTGAAGAGAAAGCAGCCCTTCCCTTCGTTAAATAGCCCTATCCTAACATCAACTTTTAACTTCAATATAAACTGCAATTTTTTCCCATTAAAACCAAAGGGCATACTGCCTCATACTTTTATCTATACCTAAATAACAAGGCAAAAAAACAAGCACAAATAGGCAAAAAAAAGGATAGAAAAAAGCAGGCATAATTACCTAGAACAGAGAAGCTAGAAACAAAGCTAACAGCAAAGCACACCCACCAACCAAAAAGAGGGATTTTTAAACAACAAACTCATGGAACAGGCAACTGATACTATTGCGGTATGCAATACATGTTCCATGCATGTGCTTATACCCAAAGAACACCCAAACTATACATGCATTAGATGTAAACTATGTAAACTACTGGAGGAAAAAGTAAGGGACTTAGAGGCAACTCTAGCCAAACCCCAATGTACAAAAGAAAGCTCTACCCAAATCGAACCAATTAATGAACAAATAATTCCCAGAGGATTTGACCCTACTGATAAACCATTGGAGGAAGACAAATGGAGGAATGTCACACATAGAAGGAAACACAATAATCAAAGAAAAAAGCGGCATACAATTAACAAACCTCTTCTGCCCAATCCAGCCCCACTAAAACTGAGCAATCGATTTCACCCATTAGATCAGGAGTTCCCAACCAGGGGTGCTCAAACCCCATGGGGGTGCGAGATGATATTCCAAGGGGTACAAAAACTTGGGTTTTCAAAATTATAGTGTATATGCATAATTCATTGCCATTATTTCTAACTTTTGTGCGAGAATATATCATTCTAGGGATACGGGGTATAGAAAAGGTTGGGAACCACTGCCTTAGATGGAAACATGCAAACCCACAATCTCCCCCTCAAAGAAAATATGCAGACGCATAGCAAAGAAACAACTTAAAATATCCCTAAAAAAGTCACATCAACAAACACACCAGAGATAAACAGAAAAGCACCCCAGACTGCAGCCCCCCCAAAAGGAAGACAAGTGTTGGTAATAGGAGATTCTATCTTCAAAGGAAAGGAATCATCCATCTGCAAACCGGACATACAATCCAGGGAGGTATGTTGTCTCCCTGGAGCAAAAATCAAAGATGTGGCTGAGAACCTAATCAAAATAATTAGGCCTACTGGTTACTACCCTCTCCTACTCCTTCACATTGGGATGAATGACACAACAAAGAACCTGAGTACAATAGTGAGATATTATAAACAACTACGCAATAAAATTAAGAAACTAGAAGCACAAGTAGTGTTCTCATCCATACTCCCAACGAAAGGCCAACACCCATTGAGGGAAAAGAGAATTCTAGAAATAAACCATTGGCTAAAGAGTAGGTGTCGCCAAGAAAACTTTGGTTTCCTAGAACATGGACTGCATTTCCTATACAAAGGACTCTTGGCATGGGATGGGCTGCACCTCACGAAAACAGGGGAAAATGTACTTGGAAAAAGACTGGCCCAACTCATCAGGAGGGCTTTAAACTAAAATTAAGGGGGGAGGGTGACCAATCTTTAGTATCCAGAACCAATTATAAATCCCAAGAAAACAAATCAAACAATGAGGTAGGCAGAGATGAGAAAAAAGAAAAACGCAAACAACAATCAGGAGATGCAGGAAACATACCCACGAACAGGCATAAAAGTCTTAAATGCTTATATACAAATGCTCAAAGCTTGGGGAACAAACAGGTCGAACTAGAAGCAATAGTACAGGAGGGAGGGTATGACATAGTTGGCATTACAGAAACATGGTGGGACAAAACCCATGAATGGAATGGACTGATAGATGGATACAAATTGTTCAAAAGAAACAGGTGTACAAAAAGAGGAGAGGGAGTTGTACTTTATGTAAGAGAATACTATATATCTACAGAAATGCACATGAACCAAGATAAAATATCTCCAGAATGTATATGGGTCAATATAAAAGGAAAAAAAGTGATATTACCATAGGTGTATATTATAGGCCACCCAACCAATCAGAAGAAATAGATGAACTCTTTGCCAACCATTTAACAAATGTATGTAAGAAGCACACCACAGTAGTAATGGGAGACTTCAACTATTCAGATATCAAATGGGAGACAAACTTTGCAACAAGCGGGAGATCAAACAGATTCCTAACCAACCTAGCTGACAACTTTACATCCAAAAGGTAGAGGAGGAAACTAGACATAAAGCCATACTGGACTTAATTCTAACTAATAGA